TTCAGATAGTAATTTAGTGCCTGTCTGAGGCTAGAACCTAGTTCTCTGATTAGTTTAGGAAACAAGCACCCTTTCCACTAGATCACATGCCTCTGTATGACTGGTGTAACTTGTCCTTAAGATTTCATCTACACATAGGTGTTGTTTTCCTTTCTGGAGAGCTGCATTTCAAAGTTAAGTGATGTAGCTCTTGAATAAGTGTAGAACGGTGGTTCTCAACCATTGCTGTATTAGATCATCTGGAGAGCATTTCAAAAATACTGATGTGGGAGCCCCACCCCAGACCAATAAAATAAGTATTTGTAGGGGTGGAGCTGGGGCCTCCTTTTGTTTTTTAAAGCTCCCCAGGTGCTTCTAATATAGTCAAGGCTCCAAAGTCAGTCTAATATCCAGACAATGGTCTAGAGGGCAGTGTTTCCAAATTCTAATGATCATTTGAATAATCTGGGGATTTTGCTAAAATGCAGATTCTGATTCAGCAGGTCAAGCGGGGCCCATTTCCAGTCTCCATTTCTAACGGGCTTCCACATGATGTCAATACTGCCAGTCCTTGGACCACACTTGGAGTCGCAGCTCCGGAAGGTGCTCTGGAATTCTGGCCATTCACTTGGTCCCTGGTTACTCCAGCCAGAGGCCTGGGAGTCACCTCTCTCCTTCACCCTCTCCTCATTTCCACCTATCCAGCCCTTAGTCAATTCCATCCCATTGTTCCCAGCAGCTCTTATCCTTTTTTGATGGACTGGTACAACCTTTTCTTCCCTGTTCCCACCATCACTCACTACCCCGGTTGTGATCTTCGCTAGACTGCCTCCCGACGGGGCTTTCTCGTTCCTTCTTGCTCTGCCCACGCTGTTGTTACTACCTAGAAGGGTCTGCCCCTCCTTGACCCATCTTTTAAGAGACAAGGGCATCCCTGGACCTCGTCTCTCCCTGCATTAATCACCTATGACAATTGTCTAGGAACAGGATGCCCTTCTGGTTCGTCTCTGCGTTTCCAGCCCCCAGCTCAGCGCCTATCAGACTCTCAAATACTTGTTGGATTTAACAAACAAAACCCTAACTCCAAGGACAAACAAAGGCCTCAGCTGCTCTCCTTCCGATAAAAATGAACATTCCTTCGAGATTATGCGTCAGGCTTTAAACTCCCCACTTAAAAGAAAAAAAAGGTTCTAAATTACCCCAATGTTTGCAGTTGCTCTCAACAGTTTATATGTTATCTCTCCTCATCTCCTCTTGGGCTATGGAGTGTCAAACCACACGCAGTACCTTAATAAAAGAGCTATCAAGGATGACTTGTTCCATAAGTGAGAAAAGAAGGCACAGAGAGTTTTGAAAACTTGCAACCATAACAGGTGAATGGGACTTGAAATGAGGATTCTCCCCTCCATGGGAGGGGGGTGGGCAGGGGAGGTAGACATGGACAGTGGTGGCAGTCAAGGGTACTACTTAAGAAACTTGGCTGCAGGGACAGACAGATCTTCACTTCATAATGTTTCAGTTTTCTTATCTAAAAAAAACAGAACAAGAATACTTAACCCATCAGGATTCGGTGAAGATTAAAAGGAATATATGTAAAAGATACTTGTGCAGGGTTTGGCATCTAAGAGGTTCTTATTAAAAGGCAGTAGATGCATGCACATACACACACATGTGTACATACATGTACACACATGCACTTGCAACCCTGAAGCTGGTAGCTTTGAGGAGTCCCTTTCCAAGGCTCCACCATAGCCCATAGGTCCCTTAGCCCACAGGTGACTTAGCTTCTGGGAGCATCTGCCTCCGTCGCAACCTGGAGCAGTCCCTTCTCTCCAGGTTTGAGTCCATGCAAGGATGCATGCTCTGGAGAATGACCTGCAAGAATGCTCAGGGGCTCTCTGGCCAGCAGTGGATGTGCCTCTGTCCTGCTGCACAAACAGAGGAGAAACTACCCTAGATGGTGGCTCTAGTCCCTCCATACCTCTGATTCCTGAAACCTGTTTAAGTACAGGGGTTCAGCAGCATCTGCTTTATTTTAATGAAATGAGGCAATGTTTTTAAGTAGAACACTTAGCCCAGTGACTAGCATGTACTAAATATCCAACACATATTAGCATTCTTAGTGATGGGAATAGTTGTTCAGCAGCATCTGCTTTATTTTAATGAAATGAGGCAATGTTTTTAAGTAGAACACTTAGCCTAGTGACTAGCATGTACTAAATATCCAACACATATTAGCATTCTTAGTGATGGGAATAGTTTTAAATCCAAAGCTTGATAGGGTCAGAGTGCTTCCAAGTGTCCTTTCTCCAATCTGAGAGGGGGAGGGAGAGATGAATAGACTTTACATCAGGGTCAAACAGTCTATGGAAAGTCTATGCTGGCATCCAGGCCCTATTTATTTGTTCCTTCCTTCCTTCCTTCATTCATTCAACACACATTTACTGAGCACCAGTTTTGTGTGTGCCCTTTTGCTCAGCGCACAAACCTCTGATCTCTGGTATTTGTGCATGGCTGTGCCCTGGGCTGGCAACATAGTGTTACATCAAGAGACTCTGCTTCTCAACACCACTCTCCATCTGCTTGCTGGGAAAGCTGGAGAGTTAGGGGGAGCTCTGGTGATAGCACCTGCATGCCAGGATGTGGAATTTGGAGTTCGACAGGTGTGTGCTACTTTTACAGATAAGGACAGGGAGGTCTGAGAGAGGAGGACTTACCCAAGTTCAGATAGTAATTTAGTGCCTGTCTGAGGCTAGAACCTAGTTCTCTGATTAGTTTAGGAAACAAGCACCCTTTCCACTAGATCACATGCCTCTGTATGACTGGTGTAACTTGTCCTTAAGATTTCATCTACACATAGGTGTTGTTTTCCTTTCTGGAGAGCTGCATTTCAAAGTTAAGTGATGTAGCTCTTGAATAAGTGTAGAACGGTGGTTCTCAACCATTGCTGTATTAGATCATCTGGAGAGCATTTCAAAAATACTGATGTGGGAGCCCCACCCCAGACCAATAAAATAAGTATTTGTAGGGGTGGAGCTGGGGCCTCCTTTTGTTTTTTAAAGCTCCCCAGGTGCTTCTAATATAGTCAAGGCTCCAAAGTCAGTCTAATATCCAGACAATGGTCTAGAGGGCAGTGTTTCCAAATTCTAATGATCATTTGAATAATCTGGGGATTTTGCTAAAATGCAGATTCTGATTCAGCAGGTCAAGCGGGGCCCATTTCCAGTCTCCATTTCTAACGGGCTTCCACATGATGTCAATACTGCCAGTCCTTGGACCACACTTGGAGTCGCAGCTCCGGAAGGTGCTCTGGAATTCTGGCCATTCACTTGGTCCCTGGTTACTCCAGCCAGAGGCCTGGGAGTCACCTCTCTCCTTCACCCTCCCCTCATTTCCACCTATCCAGCCCTTAGTCAATTCCATCCCATTGTTCCCAGCAGCTCTTATCCTTTTTTGATGGACTGGTACAACCTTTTCTTCCCTGTTCCCACCATCACTCACTACCCCGGTTGTGATCTTCGCTAGACTGCCTCCCGACGGGGCTTTCTCGTTCCTTCTTGCTCTGCCCACGCTGTTGTTACTACCTAGAAGGGTCTGCCCCTCCTTGACCCATCTTTTAAGAGACAAGGGCATCCCTGGACCTCGTCTCTCCCTGCATTAATCACCTATGACAATTGTCTAGGAACAGGATGCCCTTCTGGTTCGTCTCTGCGTTTCCAGCCCCCAGCTCAGCGCCTATCAGACTCTCAAATACTTGTTGGATTTAACAAACAAAACCCTAACTCCAAGGACAAACAAAGGCCTCAGCTGCTCTCCTTCCGATAAAAATGAACATTCCTTCGAGATTATGCGTCAGGCTTTAAACTCCCCACTTAAAAGAAAAAAAAGGTTGACCAAATTTAACAAAGTAAGTGGTTATTTCCTGTCTGGGCTGGGTGGTTTAATGCAGGCTCAAAGCAGGCGACGGGACAGGAATGAGAGGATGGATGCTGGCAGGGGCTTGGAGGTCTGCTTTCAAATCTGGACTCGTCCCAGCAGGGAGAAAAGCTGGCGCTCTGGGACAGGGTGGGGACTGCCGACGGGGAACCTCCCTGGCCCGGGAGACAGTCGGCAGCGCGGGGAGGCAGGCGGGAGCCGGGAGCGTGAAGGAACTTGGCGCGGAGGGAGGCGCCGCACGCGCAGCCGTTCAGGTTTCGCGTCTTGCGAGCGCCCGCATGGGCGGCGGGCTTGGGGAAGGGGGCGGGGGAGCGGGAGGGCAGGTCCGGAGCCGCGGGGGTGGAGGAGGGGGGAGACCGAAGGAAATGAGACAACCTTTTCCTCCCACTGACTCGGGCTCCTCCGGCGTCTGCGGGGCTCGGCGTGGCCGCCCGTGAGCGCCGAGGCCGAGACCCCGCGTCCCCAGCCCAGCCCCGGCCGCCCCTCCGCCGGGATTTCTCTCCGAGGCGCCGGTACCGCCGGCCCAAGCCCCGGGCAGCGCTTTGTCGCGTCCTCCCCTCGGTGATCGGCTCCGGGTCCCCCAGCTCGGCCCCGCGCGCCCCGAGCGCAACCCCCGGAAGTGCGCGCCGGCGGCCCCGGCGAAGGTAAGCGGCGCCCGAGAGCGCGCCCAGGGCGCAGGGGCGCCCGGCATCCCCGGCCGGCCCCGGCTCCTCCGCAGCGCCCCCTCTTCGGAAACGCCCAGAGCACTTCTGACCTGAAGCCGCTGCTTTGTTCCCGGGCCCTTGCCCAGGTGTTGCAGGCTGCGTCCCCCGGAGAACTCCGCTTCCCAGGGCTTTCTTTTTTGCCTTCTCTCCCTCTTACTTTCCTACTGCTTCTCCCGCCCCCCGCTTCTTTTTCTGGATCAGACCCCACTTAGCCCCTCTGCCTCGGAGACCGGGTCCTTTCCAAATCTCGGTGCCCCCTCCTCCTCCGCCTCCGGGAGCCGGGCTGAGCAGGCCGGCCCGCGCCGGTGACTGGCTTTGACCCCGGGTCTGCCGTGGGGCGGACCTGCCTGAAATGTTCGTGTTGTACGTTGAACTAGTTACCTGGCTCGTTTCGGAGGCATCTAGCTCGCCGAGCGCATTTGGCGACCCCCAGGACCCCGAAATGAGAGTGGATTGGGAAGCGAAAGGGCTGTTGGCGCCCCCTAAAGCCTCAGTGGGACGCTCTGCCGGTGAAGGGCACAGTCAGCCCCACGCCGCTACGTCTGGGGCTCCCAATGGTTGGGGAGGGGACACTCGATATGGGACGTGTATGGGGCATGGAGGTAAGGAGGATGGCTCGGAAGGAGAGGAGAGCCAACCACATCGCTCTGAACTTGTCATTTTGCTTTAATTAATTGCCTGAGTTTTCGCATCAGGACTATGAGTAAGAACTCCGATTCCTATTTTGCAAAAGGGCAAAATGAGATTGCGGAGTGACTAAGTAACCTGCCCAGGGCCACACAGCTCGGAAAGGGCCCAGCCAGGATTTGGACTGCCTTCTTACCCTTGTTGGTCCCCCATTGCTGACAGAGGGATGGGAATCTGCAGGTGTTTTGCAAGCACTGAAGGTAATTCCTCTGCATGTTAAAGTTTGAGAATCACTGTCTTCACAGAATAAAATCTAACTTCAGGCCTTGCTCACATGACTCTTCACAATTAGCCTCAACTTTACCTTCCTAGCCTCATCTCATGCCACTTTCTCTATGCTCCTGCCCTATCTCCCAACTCACTGTTCTTTTGGTATTCTAGGTCCTGAGTTTTTGGAATGTTCTTCCTCCTCCTTGGCTGGCAAATTCCTCTTCATTCTGAGACTAGATCTCAAGTGCCCTTCTGGGTGAAGCATTCTTCAGTTCCTATAGACAGTTCTGTTGTTCCCTGTTGCCCCAGCCCCTTTTTTTTCTTTCAGTTCATCTTTCTTGTATAGGGATCCCTTGTTTATCTCTTCACTGGTCTCTACATACCTGGAACCTAGCACAATGCCATGTTCAAGGTGGTGGCTAAAGCTTTCAGGCTTTGGAGTCAGGCTGCTGCATTCAAATCCTAGCTCTGACACTTATTAACTCTGTTAAAAGTTAATTACTTGACCTTGGGCAAGTTGACTCAGTCTCTCAAAGCCTTACTGGTAAAATTAGCTCTCAAAGAAATAGTCTGCCTTCTCTGCAGACTAGTGTGACTAACTAATGGGATAATAATTGTTCATCTTAATTCTTAACACTCCATGCCAGGACATGGTTCAAGTTTAGCATCTTGTGAGTTTTACTCACTTAATCCTTAGAATGTCTCTTTAAATATAGTACTGATATTGCCCTATTTTCCAAAGTAATGGAGGCACAGAGAGGCTAAGCAGTTTACCCAAAGTCACACAACTAATGAGTGGTTCACAGGATTCACACAGACATCTGGATTGCAGAACACACACTCTTCACACTATACAAGTAAAGGGCTTAGCCCAGTGCTCAGCACATAGCAAGTGTTCAGTGAACATGAGCTGAGGTTTGTTGTGTGCATTAATGAGAAGTGAAGTACACTGGATTTTCCACCTGCACCACATTTGTGATCTAAGACAGTGTCATTATTTTTACAATTTCTGTTCCTTTCCTTATCTCCTTGCCCTGCCCCCAGCCACATAGAGGCAGGATATTGGGGTCAGTCCTCTTTCACAGTGCTGGGCCAGCACCATTGACCTCAATGCTAAATGTAGCCTAAGTGTGTGTAATCGGGGCTAGAACAGCATTAACTGTTTGGGGATGGGGAGGATGGAGTCAACACACCTGCCTGGAAAAGAGAGATGTAGATTTGGGGTGAGGAACTTCATGACCCAGCTTTGACCTTACCAAGCACATACCCTTTGCAGTGTGCTCGTAGCCCATAAATATTGATGAAACCAATCAGTGAATGGAGATGGATGAATCAATGCCACTAGCTGATCTTATACCTGATCAGATGCAGAGTATACCTTCTCTTCAAGTTATTATGAGGAACATTTATCTATTAAAGGTAAAACTTGTTAGGGGGATTTAATGACCCATCTGGGGTGTTGGAGAACTTGTTTTAGAACCAGTCACTGACCCCCTGTGTGAGCTGTGTATGACATCGGACACTAGGCTACAGCTGATCACCAAACCAACTTGGAATCTTTTATTTCCCCTAATGCAGCCCTGACTTTGAAAGCTGAGCCCTCTCATTGCTAGTCCCTGGGCTACTTGCTCTGTCAGCCAGACTGCTTGCACAAATACCTGCACATATGTGTACTCTGGCTTCCTCCACAGCTGCCTTGCACAGCTGCAATCCCCCTGAGTTTGCTTGTTTTGGCACATTGTCCCCAAACCTTCAGTGGGATGAGGTCACCTAATGTGTGCAAGACCTCATGGTTTTCTTAGGGGCTGTGGAAATGTTCTAGTAAGGGCTGCTTTTGACTGTGGAGCAAGGTGAGAACTTTCCTGTCTCTTGACAACCAAGATGCCTCAGATCCTGTGTATCCCTTCCCTTCAGACACCAGATTCTTGCTTTCTCCTGGCATTATCCCCTCTCTGAGGTCACCGGCTGGCTCATCCAAGAAACAAATTGCCCCAGGATGTTAATGGCCAGAGTTAAAGTCAGACTCAAGATCTTTGGGCATTACTTGTATTTTCACTGAGGCTTGTATAGCCTGGCCGAGAAAATAAATTAGCCCAGGGGTGGCAGTGTGGGGGATGTCAGGCTTTGTGCCAGGTCTTCAGGTCTCTAATGTCACACCTTGTTAGCTACCATCTCTTAACTGACCAGCAGGCAGATTTCTAATAAAACTGGCTCCTGCTTTGCGTGTCTGGTTCTAGGGAGATACATTTCTCCCCGATTAGGTGTTGGGCTGTGCTCTCTGTGAAATGTACTCCACTGTTTGACTCTATGTGGAATCCTGTTTGGTGCTATAAGGAGCATTTTGGTCTCAGACTAGAGAAGGTGGCAGAATCTTGAGGTGTTCACATGGACTTGGAATACATGTGCAAGGAGAGCTCCTCACTAGATGCCAGAGACACAAAGATGAAGACAACGTGGTCCATACCATCAAGGTCATAGTCCGTGACTTACGATGGATGTGTGAACAGATGACCAGAGTGTGTTAAAGAAGATAAGAGATATCTGAGCAGAGAACTGGGAGCTCAAAAGAACCAGTCACCATCTCTGTAGAGGAGTCAGGAATGGCGTCAGAGAGAAGAGGATTTTTGAGGTGGGCCTTAACACATAGGAGGAGCTTGTTGGGTTTGGGGGGACTGGTGATCAAAGGGTATTACAGACAGGAAACAGCATTACAAGGTAGACAGTCAAGAAAGGGCCTGGCAGGCTGGAGATGGCCCTGGGGAGGTGACTGACTTTGACTTTTCCCTGTACTGTTGGGAGACAATGAAATGGGCATTTAAAGCTCAGGTATGTTGAGCTCTTTGAATGGTGGCTCTGCCCCCTGCCTCTGCTGGTCTTGTTTCCTCCAGGGGCAGTGGGACCAGGGCCGGGGGACCAGGGAGAGGCACTGTCTCCAGTAAGCAAAGAAACCACAGTTAAAAAAAGCTGAGCTCCATGATTGTGGGTGGTTGTTTTGTTTTCCTTTCAAAACCCTGGCCGATGAACTGTGTGAATGGCTCCTCCAGAGTCTGGGATTTTGAATGACTACCTTTATTTTATTTATTTATTTTTTTAAAAGATGACCGGTAAGGGGATCTTAACCCTTGACTTGGTGTTGTCAGCACCACGCTCAGCCAGTGAGTGAACCAACCAGCCCTATGTGGGATCCGAACCCGGGGCCTTGGTGTTATCAGCACCGCACTCTCCCGAGTGAGCCGTGGGCCGGTCCAAGAATGACTACCTTTAGAGTATCCAAAATTCTGTATGAATTGCTGAGTAATTGCTAAGTTTCTCAAGACTTAGGGAGGGAGGAAGAGAGAGAGAGAAGAGAGAAAGGGAGAGATTGAGTTTTGAGATACTCAGGTTTGTTTTATGTAAAATCTAGCATGTGATCCAGCAAATCAACTGCTATCAGGACTGACACATTTCCTGGGAGTCATGTTCACATCAGCAGTCCTTCTCTGAGCCCAAAGCGTTTTGCATGTACTGATTGCAGAGAGCTCCCCACAGATGGTGTACGTGCTTGTTGATTGGACAACTGAAGAATGTTCTTCTATAGGTCATCCCCAGGCTTGACTTATTTATTTACCACTAGCGGCCCCCGGCACATAGAAGGCAGTTAGTAAGTGATAGATGAGTGAATTATGCTCTAGCATAATTCCCAACTTTCAAGTTGCTCCTGGCCTGAATGAGGAGATAGACATGAAAATAGACCACATGGCACAGTGGACTAGTGCCATGACAGAGAAGAAACGGGTATAGAGGAAGACCCAGTCCAGCCAGGGATCAGGGAACAGAGGCAGGAGAAGGGTGCTCTCTTCTGGGGACCATCCTCCCTCCAGGGCAAGTGGTCCTGTGAGTGGTTCCTGGTGGCTGATTATAGTAGTGGCACCTGGGGCGGGTGCCAGGCCCTGTGCTGAGCGCTTTAGGTGCCTTTATCACATTCATCCTCACAACCACCTTCTGAGGTTGGTATTAGAGGAGGAAACGGGGTCACACCCACAGCTAAAATGCAGACTGGGGATCAGATCCAGGCCTCTGGATTCTGAGCCTTTCACCACGGCCCTGGACAGTCATATCCATGGCTCGGGATAGTCATATTGCTAAAATGCAGACTGGGGATCAGATCCAGGCCTCTGGATTCTGAGCCTTTCACCACGGCCCCGGACAGTCTCGGGATAGTCATATCATCATTAGAGATGCTTTTAGAAAATCAGTTTTCCAAAAAGAAGGTACAAGATTGTGGGCTGCCGTGTTTGGGGTGGACATGGCCATTTCCTCCTCACTTACCCCCTTCCCTGCTCCCCTGCCTGATGTCTGAGCTGTGCCTGGGGCAGTTAGAAGCTCTCCACTCTGAGGTTCAGCAACTCTCTTCCTCCTCTCGCCCCCTCTTTGATCACTGGGGCAGCCTGTACTTTGTCCTCCACGGTGAGAGGAGGCGGAAATGCTGCTCTGCAGAGAAGCAACCATAAACCTGCGAGGAAAAGAAGCCTTTTTACAAAACACCTGCTGTACTTAAGCCTCTCCCCTTTT